TCATTGGTCCGAATCAGGCGTCCTCCTCCAGAGATGCTCTAATGATCCAACCCCCAACCAAGAGCTTCACCGCACATATGCGAATATCAAAAAGGTACAACCGGGACTCATCCCATGACAGCGGGAGGGACTCATCCCAGGATAAAGCAGGTTTTCCTGCGACCTTCCTTGAAGGCTGGGCTGCAGCGGGCTGGCAGCAACATCTCCGGTTGGCATCTGCGGTGTCTTTAAGAAGAACCTAATTTATTCACAAATCTAGGGCAGAAGACATTTCAGGTGACGCTCAAAAATCTCTTACCCAAGGGAAAAAAAGATTTAAAAAAAACAATAAATCAAGGCACTCAAGTTAAACATGGCTATAGTTTCAAGGCAAGCTTGCTTTCCTTCCGAGAGACACCCTACTTATCACTTAAAGTCATTTACAGTCTGCATGAATCAGACTGGCCAAAGATGTTTTTGCCACCTCATTTCTTAAATGGATTGTTTTCTGCTTGTGGGAGTTCGGAATGCACCACCTCACTTTCTGTTAGTCCACCCACAACAAAATACCAACTCACAGTATTTGAACTTCATTAAAAATATAATCAGCTCCCCCAGCTTATAGATGTGCACTGTATAATGCCACCTCAGCTTTTTTTCTTTTTTTTTTTTTCTTGGTTTAATTAAATCCAACTGGGTTTCATTTATTTATAATTCAAAAGAAGTCAACCAACTCATTTGCAAAGTGATATATAAGGTCAATAGGCAAAACTTGAGGTGCACAATGATGATGAGCCATGGCCAATCCTTCACACAATGCATTATATAAATAAGAAAATAAGATAAATTGAGTAGACTTTTATTACTTATCTGACTAATGCTGCTTTTTGACAGATTGTTATTTCATCTATAGACATAACGAAGCCAGAGCGGCTCCATTCTGCAACTCTTCCCATAACGATGGCATTTGAGTCCTCAGAGGAGGAGTGATGAGCGAGACGTGCCTGATCTGTCGGCACCCCTAGAGAAACGCTCTGCTCTACCGGGAAATCTTAACACTGGCTCACAAGCCACCAGAAACAACCCACCATGCCACCGCAGCACGTCACCCAGCAAGCCCGCTGACGGACTTCCATTTGCGACTGTCATTTATACAGCCAAAGCCACCACGCCACAATTGTCTCACTGAAAATGCCAGATTTTCCCCCAAAACAACCTCAAACTCTTCTGTTTTCCTACAGGTCATCAGCTCTGCTGAGTCCAGGAAAAGGTCTAGGACTTCTTAAAAGGTTGTCTTAAAGGTTTGCAGGTTTTCTGCCACACGGACCAGCGACTGCTGGGAAGAACGGAGAGCACAGGGCTGGAATATAAAAATAAATATAAAAATAGAAAATACCCATTAAATATTTAACCTGCTGAGACTTCGCAGTGAACTTGAGTAACCAGCTATGAAGGGCTGGTCGTGCTGCGTGGCATTCAAGAGGATCCTCGGGAGAAAGCGATGTAGGTCTCTGCCAGCAGCTGGCAAATCAATAACTGAAAAATTTAAAGGCGTTCCTTGATTATAAAGCAGGCAAACACCGTCAAGAGTATCATGCAAACTCTGTTTCTCCTGGGGCAGCCCTGAGAATCCCTCCCCATCAGCGGGGCGGACTTTACAGACAAATTGCGAAGAATTTGTAACCCAAGTGGCGTGGCAATTCTTAAACACTTTAGAGCGGGTCAATGGATTGCAAATAATTTTCTTCCTCCCTTTTGCGAAAGGAGAACATTAAGAATGAATCTCCAGTGAAGCTTCTCAGCAGCAAGGACTTCAAGAGCTGCGGCTAAGCCGAGATGGGTAAATTTAGTTTGAAATCTTTATCACCAATTGAGACAACGCTGTGGATGCCAGCCAGAACACCACAGCCAACCGTGAATTTTTGGGAGAACATAAACTACTCATGAGAGCCCTGTCCCTTCCCGGCCAGGCTCCCCGGGAGGGCTCTGGGCAGGGTGTCTCCTCCTCCCAGGCCCTCTTGCAGGGCTGGCAGAGCCTGGCCGGGTATCGCTCGGGCTCCCCAGCCCGTCACCCGTCACGGTCCCTCGGGCCACCTTTGGGGATGTGCAGGCAAGTTTTTTATCACTTAAGCTAGCAGTCGTCTTACTCGTGTGCGCACGAGACTCGAGCTGCTGAAAGGTCCCTCCCTCTCCCTCCAAAGGGCTTGTGCAAATCTTCCAGCTGGATTAAATGAGGAAAAACCAACCAATTAATCTGTGCAAAACCCAGGACGGCGACTGCGCCTCCGCCTGTACAACAGATTCAGAACCGGAGCCCTTCTGTGCTCCAGTTCAGCCTAAAACCCTTAGTGCAGAAATGAATTTATCCCAAATGCCGGCAATAACCGAGCAGTACCCAAAGACGGCTGTTTATCTTACCAAGTCCCTGGGCGTCACAGATGCAAACTAGACCTTTCTAAGCCCCGACTGACACGGCTGGGTTTTAAAACGGAAAGCCTTCTCGCCTCTGTGTGCGCGGGCACCGCGCGAGGCTGCCCAGCTCCTTCGGAAAGCCGGAGCGACTGCAACGTGCCATGCTCGTGGGGAGAGCGGCCGGCAGCAGCACCGGCCGGCAAACTGACCCTGGACAACGTTTTTATAGGGGCGAGTCAATGATGGAAAGCAGTAATTGTTCCCTACAGTGCAGCAGCACTGCCCCACATCTGAGAGCCCGAGGGGCTGGGGTGCCACAGTTTCCCCCAAAACAAATGAGTGGGGATGCCCTCGTCCCTGCCGAGTGCGGAGAAAAGGCAGAAGCAGCGACAACCAGCCAAGTCCCGTCCTCACCAACAAGCTGAAGAGAACAAACGAGGGAAGAGAAGTGCTGGGAGGTCACAAAATTGAGGCCAAAAGGTGGGTGCAGTAGCTCCAGGTCTGCGTTGGGACACGACAGCAGACCGGCTCCACAACAAGAGCATCATTCCCACTTCCAGACCTCGGCAGGCAAAAACCCCCACCCCAAAACCAAGGCAAACCCTCACAGATCACCCCCATAACCAAACCGCATTTGCCTGTGGGGCTGACAGCAGGCATGTGGACAGCAAGGACACTGGCACAGCAGCTCCCAACACTGCCTGAACCAAGATCCCCCCCTGTCAGGGTATTTCAGGGTGAAATAACCCCCGTCCATACGGTGTTATCCACGAGCAGCGTTCCCGGCAGCAGCTCTCTCCAGCGCCCGCCCTTGGGGGTGTACCGGGAGCGATACACATGGCCAAGGCGGACAGACCTACTCCAGAACATGCTCCACAGCCCGTTCCCGCCACTCAGCCACAGCCGTACAAACCCACCGGCTTCTCCGCAGCCTCTCTGCTCAAACCAAAGTGGGCAATGCCCTCCCAGGACCCGTTTTCTGGCAGAACAAGTATCATATTCCACAAGAAGAGAACAGTTCCTACCCCCCATCACCGCGTCCACGTGTTCCCCTCATTGTGTCCCACCTTTTCGTTTAAGAATGGTTTATGGCACGATGGTCACTAAATGTCAACCTACAGCCACCCAGTCCAGCAGCCAAGTTGCTCCAAGAAGCACAATACTAAGCCAGGACCCGTTATGAGTGTAGTCCAAAACGCGTTATTTTGTTGTGTTGGTTGTTTTTTTTTCATGCCTTCACTGGCCTATGAATAAGACTCATATCAGAATCGTTCGCTTGTGGGCAAAATTCGATACAGAAAGACTTGTTGTTTCATTTCTAGTCAAACGAGGCAGATGGGTACAGAAATTACAGCTGGCCGGGAGTTGTCAGCTGTTGAGTGCACGTTCAAAGCAAACAGGTTTTGCACCGCAGTGTACAACGATTGCATGTACTCGTCCAACACCCGAACCCGCTCCCAGGCAGAAGCTGCTGGGGCCAGCACCCAAGTAACGTGTGCACCAAAGAGGCAGCTATCAAGATCCTCCAAGTCAAGTAATTTCAAAACCAAGCAGTGGCATCTGTACGTAGAAGACACTATTAGTGAGTTACCTCCTCCTGCTATTAACTTAGAGGACTAGTTATTTTCTCCATCGTCTGTAAGTGATACTAAATCGTTCAGAAAAAAAACTTGGTATGAGCACATAAACACTAGCTGGTGAAAAAAAGTGAATTCAAGCTATTCAAATAACAACTGATGAAGTCATCCGACCTTAAAAAGTGTGTACAACAGCACATTAACAGCAGCATTTAGCGAGTCAGCTCAGAGCTGTAAGCCACAGAAAAAATCCCTTCCAAACAACACATGAGCTCACCAGTTTGAGTCACGCATTCAATTACCTCCTCTTTAGATTGACAAACAACAAATTAGCTCCATCAACAACAGGGGTCAACAAAACATATGCTTTAAAACAAAGGTGGATTCACCCCAGGTCTGTGTCTTTTGGTGTTAGCACTTCACCTCGGCGCTATTACTTCTTTGTTTTAAGCAGGGCGGTAAAAGTTCTCGAACAGCATCACCGCAAAGCGCCCCCAGCTCCTGCCTGCAGAGCTGGAGCTGTGGGTCAGAAAGTTCGTGCTTTTACCCCTGCGCCGCTGTCCTGCGCTGTAAATGAGGCTGGGGAACAGGAACAAGCGGTCCTGGTTCACGCCGGGCACGCAGGAGACCAGTGCTGCTCCAGGGGTAGACATAAGCCATCTGCTCAAGCCTTCGTCATCTCCGGCTCGCACGGCAAACCCCAAATCCGCTCTTGCTGCACAACTCAACGGGAGTTAACGAGGAGCTTCCGATTACTGAACCGCGCAGCGGATGAGTCGGAGCTGCTCCGAGCCGAGGGGGTCAGCCCCGCGCGCACGGACAGGAGCCCACGGCCCCGAGCGAAGCTCAGCGCGTCACACGAGCTCCTGCCAACTCAAGGGAGCTGCCGCAGCACTTGGCAGCTCTGCGCCACGCATCCTGCAACCTGCCAAGCACCTCGTACAGAGACACATGTAGAAACAGAGGGAGAACAAACCCCTTTCCGTTATGTGAAGTTACCCAAACTGGTAGATTTTCTCCCAAAAAACATACTCCATCCTCCACTCGCAACCGCCTCATTTCAACCGAGAGTGCTTTCGACTGAGACGGGAAGCCTTTCACAACAAGGCTGTTCGCATCAGTTTGTTCCCGGGCATCTTCATCCACAGCTGAGGGCTGGTAGGTGGGGATCTGGGACAAATAATTGCTCGTTTGGTTTTGTAGCCAGCCAAAAGCAAAACATTTATTTACAGACCTCTAGGAAGCCCAGATTTGCAGAAGACTTCACTTGTCCACTGCCTGCTCCACGGCGCAGCAGCGTTTCGGCAGCTACGTGGTCCTCACACAGAGGAACTCTGTTCTGGGCTCATTTCAGGATGACAACTGCATCTGAAAACGGCTTTTGAAGCCAGAAGCAAATCTGTTCCTAAAGCTCGAACAATTTCAGCAGACACCCGGGAAGCCACAGAAACAGTCAAAAGTCAGTCCAGAATTGGGGATGTTAAGTGGGTTTGTGCTTTAGAAGAAAATCAAGAATGATTTTATGCACAGAAGCGACCACAAACAAAAGAGTTTCTTCATGCCTTGCAGTTCAGATCTCCATAAAAACTATACAGCTGCATGCAAAAACAAAGGCAGCCTATGAGGAAAATCAGAGGGCACCATAACAAACTTCATTGTTGTTGGATTACCATACAAACACCAAGATACGCGTGGAGACAAAAAACCCAAACAACACAAAAAAAAACCCCACTCAAAAAAATCCAAGTACTTGTCCAAAATACCTTCAGTATCCCGGCCTTGCACAGGTTAACCCTCCACATTTACGCTTCTGACCACTGTGCCTGTTAATACGTGGGAAATGTTGCTCTATGGCATCAGACCTTCGTGGCATCACCACCGGGCTGAGGCACACGCTGCCGTGCGTGCGAAGCCTGCTCCCGCTGCACGCCGTGCTCTCGCGTACGGCTGCACTCCTCGGGATCCTGCCGAAGCTCCGCATGGACACGGTGGCAGTCTCCCATTGGTGGGACACCCATCTGCCACCCCGACCCCGCTGCTCAACACCAGTCAGCATCTCCAGGTTTTGCCATTTAAAGGGTCACGTTGCAACAGGGCGACCCAGAGGCGGCCAGCGATGACGCAGCCGTCTCCAGACTGACGCTGTACACCCAGAAAGAAGGCTACAGCATTTCAGCTAGGCGTAGACGGGCTGAACACCACGTGCCTGTGGAGCACGGGTACTTACAGAGCTCCCGGAGCAGCTACGGAGAGACCACTCGCCATGAATTTCACCGGCTCCTGAATTTGGCCTCGCTGCACTGACCACACGCCCCACGCCAGAAAGGGACAGCTCCATGATGGAAGCATCAGGACAGTTGCTAACATGGATTTCGCATTTCGGTGTGCTGTTTCCAGCGGTAACAATGAATCTCCGGCGACCTGACCTACAATACATTGCTGCGAGCGCTCAACGGTCCCTCCTGGCCCGTAAAGGACCGGCTGGCCCCGCTAGCAGAGCAAGCGCCCCTCTACACACCCAGACGAAGCGTGCTGCCACACAGCGGCTCCCAACAGCCCAAAATCATGTCTTCAAACCCTCCGCGCTCAGCCCACGTTGAAGCCTCCCAAGTCCTCTCCTCCTCCTGACCTAGAGCTGTTGCAGGACAGTGATCTCACTCCAGCTACTCTAGCAGCAACTCTGCTGTGGGACTTTTGCTGCTACCAGGAGAAAGCCAGCATTCTGCACTTTTAAAACAGAAAAAGCATATTAAATTTTAACCTTGATGACATCTACAAGAACACAGGCGTGTCTCAACCTAAGGAGGTTTGCTAGCATGGCAAGCAGCACAGGTAAAGCTCCCAGGTTAGGTAAGATCAACCCCACAGAGTGTCATCTCCTCGGGCCGGAGCACAGACCAGCGCACCATCTCCTGTATGGATTTTACCATCAAGTTACTTAAGCAGTTTGACAACAGAAGAAAAGTAACAGTTCCTGCGATAAGAGATGATTTTAGATTAAGTAAACAGGACAGGGAAATAGTGGGGAGTTTTGGTTTTGCTTGGTTGGGGCTTTTTTCATCTAGTTGGGTCTCCGGTCCACTCGGCACCCAGAACCACGGGCAAAAGGGACTAGAGAAAGGGACTGGAGCCTGCTGCTGTTAAAACTGGTACAGAAGGAAAGAGAAGACAGGGTAATTTCTGTGTCCATGACTGGGAGCATGCAGAGAGCAATCATTTGCAAAGACAAGAAAGCGGTACAATACAACCCCCAAATGGGCCAGGGAACTCAGAAGCTGGGCTGGAAACTAAGTTAAAATGACATCTCTAATAAGAATTCTTTTAAAAATCTGCATTTTCTTTATAAGGAGATTATTCCAGAGATGCACAGCGCCTTCTATTAAACTGCCAGTTAGGTACAGCCTTTCAGTGTCCCCTTCTACCTGTCTCCTCCTTAACCGCTGACTGTTTAAACAGCAAATATTTTGTTTGAATCGCATGAGGATTTTTGGCCAAATTCAGTGTCTGACATTGAAATGGCTGCAGCACTGCATGGCACATACAAGACATTAATCACTTCAGGGGTTATATTTACAGGAGAACAGGTATCAAAGTTTTCAAATGATATAATATTGTCTAGTTTCCCAATGGGGTGATGGAAATGAGACAAAGGGGAGGTAGAAAGAGGAAGAAAATCTAAAAAGCTACAGCTATGTAAAAATGCTCTCAGCAAACAGAAGCCCTATAGGAACAAACAATTTCTGAGCTGATGTTCCAACCTTACCACGACTACAACTTTTGCAGAAACAGACAGGCCTCTTGGATGGGGGGGCCCTAGCCCTGAGCCATGATGCTCTGCACCCCCAGGGAAATTCCCCTTTCAGGTGAGTCCCAACTCACAGCAAAGCGTTTAGCAAAACGGAGCCGAAGCTTTTCACATCGGAGCTTCCTTCCTCCTCCTCTGCCTGCAATCAAATAGAAACCGCTATGACATAATGCTTCTGTATCACCGCTCGTTTCGCGCTGAGCCGGGGCTGCCAGAGGAAGGTGAGGGGTAAAAAGGGAAAGAAAATGTGATTTTAAAAAGGAAGGCTGTAAAGCCTCAGCTCTGAAACCTAAACTCACAGCGGAGCTATTTGCAAGGGAAAGATGCTCCGCTCTTCCGAGAGAGGGAGGCAGCCGGAGGAAAACATGCCAGGGAACAGCTGGAAACAAAAGCTGAAGGAGACAGGGAGGAGGAGGAGGAGACATTTTCCATGGGCTTTCCTATGCGGCTCATGCACTGAAACAACCAAACAAAAAGAAAAAAAAAACAACAAACCCCCAACAAAACAGAACACACCAACAGAAGTGGACAATGCCACCATGGGATCTGGATAGAGCAAAACCTACTCGTTTTTAAAAAATAAAAAATAAAAAAAATACAGAGAAACTTGTAATCCCAGTTATTAGAAGCACATTCTGCCCGTTTCAGATTTATACCGCTCAGTTCACATCACCTTTGCGCACTTGAGGCTCAGAAGCGTATTAACAGCCATGTAAAAGCAAAGCTTTTAGACAGGGGATTACAGGTGGCGAAAACTGCCCTGTGCAATCGAGAACTTGGCAGAATAACTCCCTAGCTTGAGAAAAACACAGCAAAACCACAACCCTCCTGAAACAACCCTCCTATGCCGCTGTGCAGCCTTGATCCTGACTTGAGGGAGAGCTGAAGGTAGCAAAACCTGTCAGGCACTCAGTTTGGGGGTTGTTTTTAGTTTTGATGGGTTTTTTTTGTTTGTTTGCTTTGATTTGGGGTTGGTTTTGTTTTAAGTTTAAGCCACAGCTAGTTAGTCCCACATCAAGGAGAGATGGAGGTTCAACATGGTACATTTGGAAATATTTTTCACACAAAGGATAAGTAGTAAAGGATGGAGAAACACGCTGGAGTTGTTTCTCAGCCAAAGCCTGCTGTGATGAGATCAGTTTTGCGTCCCCGATGACAGGGAAGCGAACATCCCCGAAGGACACACTGATGCAAGTGCTGGCAGACACGGGGAATTGCTGCAACAACCCCTCGCCACTCTGCAAACCATTGAAAGAGATTTCTAGCAGCACGACCGGCGCGGTGCAACTGAAGCATTCCCCGCAGATCAATTCTGCGGCCACTACAGAGGTGTGACGGCAAAACTGCACTTACAACGTTTTGCCTCAATCCCTCTCGCATCTGAATGCTAAAACCTGAAAATAAAACATTATTCCAATTAATCCAGTCACGCCAGAAAACACACAGCAGTTTTCACTGGCGTGCAGCGTCTGAAACAGCAGGCCAGCCCAGCCGGACGGCTCGTGTCTACCACCGACAGGGACAACGCTGCTCCGGCAGACAGCGGGAACGTGGCCAGGCGAGGAGGAGGAGGCAGCAGCAGCAGGATCAAGTTTGCCTCCCTGCTGACACCAGAGAGCCCTGACACACTGCCGCAGCCAAGCGCTCATCCCGGCGTTGCCACCTCAAGCCCGCGCTCAACATGTGCAGCTCTTGTGTGCGTATGCCCAGAAGGTGCCACCGCATCTGTGCCGTCCCCATCTGAGGTTTTACTGCACACAGGTACACCCAGCAACTGCTTCTCGCGTGCTCAAGGAGGCAAGGTTAGATGCTGTCAGGTATTGACAGAGGTCCTGTCCTTACAGAAGCTGCAGAAGTTTCAAGCAGAGCCGCTCGGCCGCGCGCTTCGTTAAGGCTTGGGAAAAGCGATCCAGCGATGGCAAACTCTGCAGCTGTGCGGTAGGACCTCCAGCCAAACACAGCAGCAAACACACAGCTGAAGCATCAAGGAGCATCCCCTCGCACGCCCTCCGTGGTAGCAAGAAGGACGAGACGAGGCATCCCCTTTCCTCCACCCCTGCGTACACTGGTTGTGGTACAGGTTACCTCCTGGGTGGCAAGTAACTAACTTGAAGACTGCTACGAAGCAAAGCAGAGCAGTTTTACAGGTGATGTTTCTGGACGCATGCTGGTGACCGAGGGGAGTAATTGCTGCAAGGAAAGACTTGAAAGGGACAGCTTAGGGACCTCCAAATTTAGACAGCTGCACAAAAACAACCAGAGGGAAAAGACAGCCAAAGAAGTGGGTCACTCAAATAAACAACCTGGTAATTAAACAGCAGCGGTGAGGTCCCCAGGCAAACAGCGCCGGCTGGGAGGGTCCTGACCACCTCCAAGGGCTGAGCCGCCCTTTGTTAATGGTCACTCCTCCCTGCCGGCCAGGGAAAGGGCACGGAGCTACACCACCCCAGACCTTGCTCCTTGCCTAGGCACTGTGCCGTGGTGGGCTCACCGCCCCTGCCCAATAGCTGAATTCCTTCCACTTCTGCTTCAGGCGAAGAGCTCTTGGGAAAGATCCAGTTTTCATCTGAACCACAAAACCTGTCAGTAGCTATTGCAACTGAGCGCTTAAGTTGCCTTTTTCCCAAAAATTCCTTGGGCCTTTGGATAGCAGTGGGGTAACAGAGCACCCAAGGATGGTGCTCGAATAAAGGCACTAAGCCCCAGCTAAGGGATGGGGTGGAAAGGAGTCACTGCAGTAGGGCTGGTCACAGCCCCGTCCCCGCGGCAGGGCAACACTCTCAGGTTAGCTTTCACGTGCTCTTTGAAAGGAGATCAGAGTGCAGACATAAGGCTTCCCCCTCATCGCCTTCTTCATACAAGCTGAGGACAGGGAAAAAAATAAAAATAAAAATCCATCCCCCTTCCACTCAAAGCCATCTGCTCAGAAACACGCTCCACTCTTGCCCTAATGCGTGTTTCTCCTTACCTATGCGAAGGTGAGGGGGAAGGCTCTGC